AAAAAAAAAAAAAAAAAAAAAGCCCTAGGCTCACCAGATTCTGCCAGGCCGGGGGTGGGGGCGGATCCCTACTGTCCCCACTACCCCGTGCTGCATTTGGGGGCTCTGCCACGAGCCCCCAGAAGCCCAGAGGCCGCCGCAGCAGCCAGTGAGTGCAGGGCTCTTTTTTTTTAGGAGCTGGGGCCAGGCAGAGCAGCCATGGGTGGGGCTGGGAAAGCAGGCAGGGGATGGGGCCTGGCAGGGGTCCCCTGCCATGGTCCTGTCCCCACTTCTTCAGCTCCGCCCCCCCCCCACTTACCATCACGGAGTCTGGGTCCAGCTCCCTGTGGCAGCGAGCAGGGACTGCCTGAATCACCGAAGCTCTCCAAATCTTTTCCAAATCAATTTGGAGAGCTTCAAATCGATTCAGACCTTTTTATTGGTCTCCTGATTCAATTCAGATTTGGAGACTCAGCCGCCAAATTGGGCTGAATCTCCTCCGAAATTGAATCAGCACCTGAAGTTTTGCACAGCCCTAGTAATAACCCTCCAGTTAAGTTGTGTTTGTCTCCTTGGATTTTAAAAATCTTTTATTCACCACTGTCTTGTTGCCCTGTCAGGGGAAGAATGCAATAGTTTATCAAAGTCAACAAGAATATTACACTATAGTTTTTAGAAAACCAAATAACTAATATTAACATATAAAAATAAATCTATATATTCAATCTTTATGAATTTAAGGGCCATAGGTGCTGCCCATTGCATGCAGTGAAAGGATTGCTTTCTAGATCTGGCTCTAAATATGTCTAGTCCCAGGAAAGACACTCATGAGGACTAGTCAGTTTAACTGTGTGTGCAGCATTACGCATACCATGGTATACCTCACCCCATTGCATAATCTGTAAATTCTGTTTAATGAAACAATAATTTTTAGTCTTTACTGTGAAAGGAAAGGATTACTCAGGTTAATGTCCTTTATTGGATCAGCTGCATAGTTGGGATAGTCAGACAAATTCTTGAATGCAAGATATCCTTTACATCTGGGGAGTAAAATCTAGCACCCCATAGTGAAAAACAGTTGGAAGAAGGGGGAGAGGAATTCTGAGGGATAGCAGACAAACAATTAGCAGAAGAAAAGCCGGTTACTGGGTGATCAAAGTCTGTCAAAAGGAAGAAGGGTCGTTATTACCTTGCACGTGTGGAAAGAATTCAGGGATCAGGTAGGTTATAACATGCCACAAAACCAATATTAGTGTTAAGTCTTTTTAAAGGTGTTAGGTAGATTTCCCTTGAGCATGAGGATTGTGAGGTCAGAGAGACTGGTTGTTCTGTAAAAAATGTTTTTGTCTGAGAGTTCATTCTGGCATGCAGTTGCTCTTTAGTTTTACCCACATAATTATCATGAGAGCATTTGGTGCATTTGGATCAAATATTTCACACTTTGGGAAAGGCGTGTGTAGGAATGAACCATGGATTCTGATGGTTTTGTTATGGGGGAGTGCTGATTATAGTAGTGATGGAGATTTGTTGACAGGTTAACCATTTCTTGCTAAGGCAAGGCTGTGTCTCAAGGCTGATCTTTTATTGCTCAGAAAGAAATCATAGAACTCCTTTATAATCAGTGAATGTTCCACCTTTGTACCAGGCATGGCTCTGATTTCAAGCCATAAATGCAGAGCTTCTGTCATTTGCCCAGAAATACTGTGTAGACTTCATCTGAGCACTAAAGTGGTACTGCTGACTTCTCCTTATCTTTAGGTTCACAAGGTGATTTGCTGTTCAGCAGTCAGCATTGCCACACCTAACTTTTATGTGCCTGGCTCCTGAAGTGAAATTCACAACCTGGGGTTTGGCCACAGAAAGGCCCTGTGCAGAGCATAGGAATGGAATTCATGCAGCCAGCGCACGGAGTGTGGGAATGCCTAAGCTAGCCAATAGGAAATGCCAGAGAGGCATGTCTAAAATTCTGCTTCTTTTGTGGACTTGCATGCCTCTAATTCCCTGTTATTAGTACTGGGATTCACAATACAAGCCCTGTCCTGGAGGTAGGTGCCTTTTTGGAAAAGACAACTGGTTGAACTGGAGAAGGGTAGTAGAAGCTTTTATGTGATAGGATAGTGGTTAGAACACTTACCAGGGAAGTAAGGGATCTTGGTTTAGTGCCCTCCTCAATCCAAGGGGCTCAAACTCACTCATCCTACTTTCCTTGAGAATGCCTTAATGATTATTATTTACTGTTAGTTACTACTAATTATTTGATGTAGCTCACTCTGGGTCTCTCTCTCTCTCTTGAATTAGGGGAGCACATTGCTATAGACATTTTTTTACAAAGAGGCAAGAGGAATGTCCACTGCAGTAAGTGTGAACTACAAATCTCCGTGTGGCAGATGGTCATCAACTGTGAATGAGTGGGTGTGTCTACATGTGCTTTTATGCACGCCTAAACTTAATGTGCATTAGTTTAATGCGTATTAAGGTGACTTATGTGCACATCTACTTATGCACATGCTAAGGCGCATTAACGCAGGTGTATGGATCAACTTGGGACTAAAGTTAGTCCCAAGTCAGTGGACACACTGCATTAATGCGCATTAGTTTGTCTATACGTTTGCTAATGCAGCTTAACTATTCACGCTCAAATAGCCTAAAATCGCCATTTTAAGGCACATTAAGGGCGTGTAAATGTAGACATGTGCCCTTAATGCACCTTAAATTGGGCTAATGCACATTAAATGTGCATGTGTAGACACACCCAGTGTTACAAAAGCTGTTACATATCTTAGCTAGGGACATCAGTCCTGGTAGCAATATATGAAAATAATTTCTGCCTTTTTTATAAATCTCTCCAAGGTTGGAAGTTCAAGCAGATGTGCAAAAAGAGCGATACAGTCTGAGTGGAGAATCTGGTACAGTTAGCTTGGGAACGGTTAGTGACAACGCCAGTACCAAAGCAATGGCAGGATCCATTCTGAATTCATACCTCCCATTGGATAGGTAAGAACAATGTAAGATCATAGACTGGAAGGGACCTCATGAGATCTAGTTCAACCCCCAGCTCAAGGCAGGATCATCCCTGACTCAACCATCCCAGCTAAGTATCTGTCCAGCCTGCTCTTGAAAATTTCTGAATTGCTTTTAAAAGGGATTTCAGCTGCAAGGACTTCAGGACTCTGTGCATTTACAGTTTAAGCTAATAGATGCCACCATGCTCACCAAACACTCACTCAAGTGTATAAAGGATGAAGTACAATATTTCACAGTGTATAAGTCGGGTTTTGAAACCCAATTTTTGTGTCTTAAAAATCAAAACTCGACTTATACACTGTGACACATCAAAAAATTGGAGATGGGGCTGGGCTTGCCTGGGCTCTGCACTCGGCTGGTGCAGCCTCATCCCCTCTGAGTGGCGCTGACAGTGCCATTTGCAGGGGATGAGGCTGTGCCAGCCAAGCCCATCCCCATCCCCTGTGAGTGGGGCTGTGCCAATCAAGTGCCGAGCCTGGCTGTCTGATGCAAGCAGCACTGCCAAATGCTGGGCTCAGCGCTAAGCTGGCACAGCCTCATCCCCTGCAAGCAGTATCAGGCTCGAGGCTCGGCATTCAGTAGTGGCCCCATCCCCTGTGAGCCAAGCATTGCTCACAGGGGATGGGGACAGACTCGGGACTAAGCTAGCATGGCCTCATCCCCTGCGAGTGGCACCAGAAGCGATGCTCACAGGATTTGGACTGTCTCTGTCCCCGTCCCCATCCCCTGCAAGTAGTGCTGGCAGCCAGGCCTGGCCCTGACTTATACACTGTGGCTATGAAAATCCTTACCTTTCAGGTTGGAAAGCTGGGGGTTGACTTATACACTGTGAAATATGGTAAATAGATGTTCCTTGTAGGAACACATCATTTAAAGTTGGAGATCAACTTGTTTATATACCTTTTATTCATTTGGGGTCTTGATTCATCTTTGAAGTTTCTAACTTCAACTTTGTCAGACATTGAAAAAAGGCACAAGTTTGCTTTGGTAATTAATTTTTTTATATGTTGTCTTAACAGTGAACATTTACACTTATAATTTCATGTTCTAGGGAAGGTAACAGCATGGAGGTGCAAGTTGATATTGAATCGAAGCCAGCTAAATTCAGACACAATAGTGGAAGCAGTAGTGTTGATGATGGCAGTGCTCCAGGTCGTAGTAATGCTGGTTGTTCATCAGCCAGCTTGCCAGAAAGTAAATCTAGTGCCACCAAGTGGTCCAAAGAGGCAACGGCAGGAAAAAAATGTAAAGGTAAACTGAGAAAAAAAAGTAGCATGAAGATAAATGAGACCAGAGAGGACATGGATGCTCAGTTATTGGAGCAACAAAGCACAAACTCAAGTGAATTTGATTCTCCCTCTCTGAGCGATAGCATCCCGTCTGTAGCAGATTCCCACTCGAGTCATTTTTCAGAGTTTAGTTGCTCTGATATGGAAAGTATGAAAACGTCCTGTAGCCATGGTTCCAATGATTACCACACTCGCTTCACTACAGTCAGTGTCCTCCCTGAGGTAGAACATGACCGCTTGGAAAATTCTCCACATCAGAGTGGAATTCCTGTGTTGGCTCCAACCGCCTCAAGCATTGAAGTTCCACAGCTGAGTTACATCGCTGAAGAAGGTGTTCATAATGGAAGTTCAGCTGATGTGGATTTAGATATTGGTGAGACACTGAAAGAAACAAACAACAATCATTCACAACATGCTGTGGAATTAAACACTGCGATTCAGACTGAAATTTAGACCTATAAGTGCTGCAAAATTATATTTACCACTAAAGAGCCCTGTCTGAAAGCTGGTTGAACTACATGTGACTACTGTAAGTCCCAAGTGACCAGCAGAAGCAAGGTTTTGATGCAATTATATTTTATATGTACCTGTCTAGTAAGGCAGAATGCTTCATGTGGATCTTAGTTACAGACCTATGTGAAGTGACAAAGGCTTTAACAAGTGCATTACTACACAACAAATAAGTTAATGTTTTGTATTTTTGCCACAACTTTGCTTGAAAGTATATACTTGATGTATTCGATACAAAATTGGCAAATTTGTATAACGTTAAATGCTAAACTGAATAGCGTCCTGCACTGTTCACTTGAAAATGTGGAGCTTGGGAAAAGTGGGTGTTAGATGAGTAGTAGTAACTTTGATATCATTCTAGAGTGAACACTAAGGGAAGCAAAAGTCTTGCAAAGACTATACAGGTATGTTTCAGTAATGAATATTTGTAATGACCATTTTGGCTCGTAACTGGACACATTTCAAAAGTTTGCATTTAGAATGAATCACATATCCAGAGATGGATGCAGCCTGTGTTAGAAGGGTTTATATACTTGCACACTTTGAGCAATGTTATGGCATTTGAATTAACTTGGAAACTGGTACTTAGTATATGGTAGAAAAGTGACATCTTTTGAAGAAGTGGGGTAATTTAATGATGCGTGCAACAGGCAAAGTGACTATATACTGTACAAAAACTGTAAAATAAGAAACTATTGATTTATAAATATAGAGAAGCCGCTACAGTCACCTTTCATCAGGGGAAGAACAGTGCCCCACAGATTCTCGGTGCCTTTGGAAAAGACTGGGTTTTAAGTGCCTGGTCGTTTGAGGATTTTACTGTAATGTTTTCCAGAATATCCTCTTTGGCCATCTTGGATTATAAAGGAAAACTCGAGAGAATAAAATGACTGTGGTAGATAAGTGTATAATAATAATAATAATAATAATAATAATAATAATAATAATGAAGTATTAGCCTACCAAAGACTCACTCAGGCGTCAGTGGATAAAACTTTCATGACATCTGTTTGCAAGACTTGCGCACATCCCCAGTCACTGAATTCAAGCACAGTGCAGAACCTGCACAAGTATAAAAGATGGGTTCTAGATATGGCTGGCTTTTTCTTTTTTCTTTCGTGTATGGAAAATGTACAGCTAGACACAAACTGAAGTTGGCCAAAGCATCTGCACTGCTGAAAACATTTTTACTATGTAATTCACTAAAACATGGAGAAAAAAAAAAGCGTGGCTATCAGAATCCCGGTTAACAATGATCTGTCTTGTGTTTCTTGTAAGTATTGCCATTATGGTGCTACTGGAAGTTTGATTGGGTAAAAAGAAAAATGCCATGGGCTGCAGTCCTCCTCCATGACTTGGCCTCACCAATTTCATTAGTATGCTATAACACTAGTGCCAGTTATGTTATTTGATAACGCTTGTTATGGTATTTGTATATTTGCATTTCAGTTTGCTCAATACTATGCGTGTAAACTGCATACCTGAAATAAATGTTGAAGTACTACCTTCAGTTGTCCCTTGTTTAGTGCACTGGTGGCCTTACAAAATTGTAGATGCTAACTGAGAGCTCTTTCTTACAAGGTCCTGAGTGCTGTCCTCTGCCATTGCCTTCATTTCTTGCCTGTCTGGCAAGGTCTGGCTGTGATGGAAATTGCTGATTTCTGGCACCTTGCAGGATGCAGTGCAGAGGCAGACAATTTCCCCACCCACCTTTCTCCTCCCCCTCCATAAATTTCAAGATGACTATCCTCTTGCCTGCTTTGGTACAGCCAGAGCAACAATCTGGTTGCCACTGCCCTGGTTAGGGAAGTAAACTGCTTGCTGAGAGGACTGGAACCCTATATTTATATGTGGTGACTTGATCACATTTTGTTTTTAAGTTCCATTGTATCAGGAGCGGATTGTGAGCCAGGCAACCCACCTGTTTTTTCTTTAGAATTGTTTTCTTAATTTTTCTCTCTCTGTCATCCTGAAACAAACTTCTTCCACACATTCAAAGTGATTTCTCTGTTAGGACAACACACTTGTGTTGACAGATAAACTCGTTGAGTTGGATGTTTTGTCCAAAGCCTGTCAGCATAGAAAGGGTCCATGAAGATATGTGGAATTGACACCGCCTATCATTCTGCTGTTGGATGATGCATCTCCTCCATTCCAGAAGGATCCTGGCAGTGAAAGTAAATCATAAAAACAAGTGGTGCTGTTACATGTGCTGTGGTCACTAACCATCTGGGTTGGGAGTAAATGTAATCTTGTATATTTTATGCCAAATTAAATTATCTTTAATTTGAGGGACAGCAGAGAATTCCTAGTGGTTGGTATCTTCTCTCCTATGACTTCCATTCCTCTTCTGTTCTCTTGTGCTTGGGATTTGAACTTTAAAAAATGAATGTACGTGGATTCTGAATAGTGATACTAACATCTGAATTTGCTAAAAGATTGAGATTTATTGAACTGGGATAGGCATTGGTGGAAGTAAAGCTTTCAGTACTTTCCGCTTATGGCAATGTGCATATTTTGGATGTAGCAGTCAGGATGGTCTCTGTCATGGTCATAAATTCAAGTGCAAAAGCTTCACTAATGCTCTGGGAGGGAAGAAAGCTAGACTTCCATGGCTAAAACTTTGACCTCTGAGTTGCCCAGACTTGTGTCTTTGCATAGGCAAACGTATTGCTGAATCTTGTTCTAGGGGTTAGTGGTGCTGACTTATGATTAAGCAAGGAATCTTACAAGACAGATAACTCCTTAAATCAATCATCTTGAGCCAGAATTTTCTTGTTCGGTGTGTCAAAGAATGTAAACCTCTATTTTGGTTTTTATTTATTCTTGAATTAATTTTATGTCTATCATTACATACAGTAGCAATAAAGTTTCTGTAATCCATCATTGTCTCCTGATTTGAAAATCAACATATAGCTTTGCTTGGGGCATCAATGAAGTATCCAGATATCTGTAGTGATATAATGTAGCTACGGAACTAAGGATTGGGCTTTAGACCAGTTTCTCTTATTGATTCTATCACTGACTGAGAAAGACCCCTTAACTTTCACTATCTGTAAAATAGAAATAAAAATTTATCCTGGTAAAGCAAATATAACTACTTTGCCTTCAAAGGATTAGTGTTCTTGATTACTATCAGCAAGGTCCAGTATTTTTCAGAATTATTCACTAACTTTCACATATAGTAAAACAAAGCCAGTTTCTGCCCACCAAAGAGGAATTTGCTATAACAGAAAATTAATTTTGCTGATTGCAGTACCCCTTTCATGGATATTAGATGAAATGAGATAGTCAAAATGGAACCATATGATGTCTTTCAATATTACTGTTTGTAATTCAGTTATGAATGTTTGTTGAAAGGAGCATAAGGTACATTCAAAGGTGCTTTAACTATTTTACATCCATGAAAAAACTTACTTGCGATTTTATTGCGGTAACAGGATTTATTCACTTATACAGAGCTTTTTCTCCTTGTGTAAGAATCCTTGATACTTGCTCTGCAAATAGAGTATTTCTTGTTGTATATTGCACTTGCAAGTATACAAATTACTCAATACAGAAACTAGCTAACCATAAGTATTACATGAACTCTTATTTTTCCAGTGCTATTATTTCAAAATAGTTCCTATAAGCAAAAAAAAAATAAAGCATCAGAATACCTGGAAAGATCCTGGCAATGGAAAATAAACTACTGGAGCAAGAGGTGCTGTTAAGTCTTGGCACAACAATTACAACCTCCTCTAGTGAGAGCAGCCTGGGAGAGTTTTGCTCCTCTGAAATTTGTTTTGTGACGAGTGAATCTTTTTCATTATAATTGATTTTTTTCCCTGAAGTAGTATATTTTTCATTCCATATACGAGGATGAATTGGACTATAAATAGATGGCTATTTAGCAAGGTAACCTGACTGGTGTGTATGAATGCTATCTTTAAATAACATCTTAGTTAACATGGATTAATGAACTATTTTTAAATAATTATTTTCTAATATAAGCACTTTTTGAAGATAACTTCTGTTATCAAGGCAGCACTAAACATTTTTTGTTGTAAAGCTAGTGAGCCAAGCACAAGCATTAAGGGGTGTAGTTTTTGACAGCAAACTAAGGAGCTATAATTGCTTGAATTACAAGCAGAAGCTAAGAACCAGCTGGGTAAGGGAAAAAGTAAATTAATCTAGGTCACAAATAGAGGGAGACCTACTTGGAAGAGGTTTGTGAAAGAGGAGCAAGACAGCAGTTGTGGCAAGAATGGAGGGAAGCTGCTGCACAGTTTGCCTAGACAGTGCTAGGACAGCACACGTTGTGGGGATGAGGAGACTGTGCTGCTCTGAGGCAAAAATGGTAGAATTCAGATGGCAAGGCCTGGGATCATTTTCCTGAGGAAAATGAACAGGGGCCTGCCTAAAACCTGGGCTGGCTGTGGCAGGCAGCTGAGAGGCTGCAAGCAGCTGCACCGGGGTCCACAGAGCCTCAGCCCAGCTCATTGCTAGTGGCAGGTGCACGCGTACCTCAGGGCAGATGGTGGAGAAAAGGCCAAGAACAAGGATTGGACCCCTCACGGCTCCACCCCGCCATCCACCCTGAGGCGCACATGCCAAGCAAAATGTTTGTGTGTGCTGTGATGTGGCCTGCATGCTGAGCTGACCCCTGCTTTAGGTGCAGCAAGGATCGTTCCAATGAGTAGTATCCAGCCACATACAGTGAAGCCTGATGCAACACCGAGGTTCCTCGGGGGGGGCATCGAGCAAGTGCAGTCAGGAGGGGAGGGAAGACTTGCAAATTGGTAAGCCTGTAAACAGCCACATCCCTGCCAGGACAGGGAGGCCTGACTGCCTGAGCTTCCTGCTCCAAGTTGGCATTACAGTGTGCCAAAACAGATGCCATGTTACTGCTGCCTGTCCCAGAGTTGAACAGCACTAGGGAGCAGGATGTTTTGTAAAGTTCCTATTTATGAACAGTAACAGCGATTCATTTTTCCATCTGACTACAGGAAAGATGGGCTAGGGAAGAGGCAACGGCAGCAGCAGCAATTCTACAGCAGCTTAACCTTACTTTAAGTAGAGGCCTGACATGCAATCCTGTAGGACATTGATGCCTGTGCAACCTCATTGAAGAGCTGCATGTGGCCTGAAGGACGCCACCCCTCCTACCCAGTCTGGGCAGGCCTCACCTGTTGTGTAGACCAGCTGGTAACATGGAGTTAGCTTAGCATCTTGCGTGAGCAACATAAAACTTGCTGTTAATGCTGCAGTGTTCTTGTTGTGTTGTTCATTGAGACCAAGAAGGCCCGGGCCAGAGGAATCAGCATTGGGATACATCGAACACTTGGCC